GGCGCCCCCAGCAGCCGCGGCCTTGTGCAGGCAGCTTTCAAGGCTGGCAGCCAGAAAGGGCAGACCTGCCGCCTCTCAGGCTTTGCAGGAAAGCTTGCTGGCAAGTGGGTTGTTTCTCCCATGGCAGTGAATCTTTCTGAGTGCCCCGTGTGGGTTTGTGACTGCGCTTGCAGCTTGGCTACAGGCGTAGGGGGTCCTCAGCAAGTCACTTCACCCTGGCCGTGGAGCTGCATTAGGCTTGTGGCTTCTCCAGCCCTTGAGAGAGGTGACACATTCCTTGTGCACACTGAAGCTATGAGAGCCTCAGGCCAAGTCCTGGGGGAAGGGGTGAGTGTGGGCACTGGGACAAGGCTGCAGACGGTACAGGCAGCCCTGGGCTCCCTCACTTGTCTGCTGACCCCAGCAGCTTCTGCCCTGCTGACCTGTGCCTCCCGAAAAGCAGGCTCTTCAGAGACAGGGGCGGCTGCTTCCCAAGAATAATTTTTCCTCCTGTTTAAAACCGTGTTCGTAATTCCCATCCTCTGCGTTCGCAAGTTGGTCTTCAGCTCCGGCTATGCCTTTGCCAGCAGGGCTGAGGAACCTGTTAGTACCCAGCACCTTCCCCCGGGAAGGCACTTCGGCTCTGCAATCAGCTCGCCTCTCCCCTCTGATAAGCCATGTAAATAAATAGTTTCTCTGCAACAGTTTATGTAGTCTATAAACAACCCTGCCTGAAGCCATGGGTCACTTGAAATAAACTCTTCTTTTACACCTGAGAATGAAACAAGCTCTTCTCTGAAACTGCCTTAGGTAGGGGGGATGTGGACAATCCTACATCCATCAGCCGCCAGGCAAGAGCATGGCCATGGGTGTGTTTTATTTAGTAGTAATAAGCCAGAACAGACAGGAACGGTGGGAGATGCGGGGCAGGTACCAAGGCGCACAGATTAGCAGGACCCAGGGAGGCAGGTCTGGGAGATCTGGGGATGGAGAGGCATTGGTGTGGTGGCATGTGGTGACACTGGTGTGGGCTGCTGCTGAAAGATGCGGGTCCACCTCCTGCCTTGGTCCGGTGCCTTTCCCCACTGGTGTTTGCTTTTGCGCAGCCACTCCAGCAAGCCACCGTGGGGGCTGGCAGGAAACTCGTTTCCCCCTTCTGCTCAATGCCTCAGGGAGACGGGGAAAGGAAGGACTGAGGTGGGATCCAGCCACACTTGAATCCCAGCTGCAGGTGGTGGGGAGAGCTCTGCCTCAAGTTTAGCCTTTGAAACCCAGAAAAAGGCAATGGTGCCTGCAACACCCAAACAGGGGTGGGCTGGGGAAGGAGGAGATGAGCTCAAGGTGAGAAGTTGCCCATCTTTGAGCCAAAGCGGCTTGAAAGCAGAGGACCCTGAACATGACACACCCAGAGAAGCAAGTAAACTGTGTCACTAAGTGTGAGATGGGTCTTCTAAGGACAAAGGGCATCGAGGCCGAATGGGTTTATTTCCTTTATCAAGCAGGGAAAATGTTTATCTCTGGTTTTTAAATTTACAGCTTGACAAGCTATGTGTATCTCAGATTGCTTCCTTGAAGTACAGTGGGGCAAATAAGGTGAAACGGCCTCGGTCACACTTCAGAGGAAGAACCTAGGTGAAGGTGAGATGCAAATGCCACACTGGAGCCTCTAGGACCAGGGACCCCAGGTCCCTCCACCCTATGAGCAGGACATGGGTCTTTCCCAGCCCCACATGCCCGTGCAAAGCAGGCGTGACCTGCGACCAGCTGCATTCAGCATTGCTACCGCAGGAAGGACTGCGCCCGGCCACTTTGGTCCCCTCTCCCAAACGAGGGACTGGGTACACAGACCTGCAGTCTCCTCCCTTGCCTTCCTCACCACCCACCCGGGCCACCGCTTTGGCTGTACCATGGGCTCTTCCTTTGCAGCCATTTGTGTGTAGTACCCAAGGCTCCCCGGCAAGGAGGGAGTTGGCTGTTTTGCCACCATAACCGCTTCCTGAGGCTGCCCGGGAGCATGGCGGTGGGGTGGGCTGTGGCAGGGCCACACCTCTGCTGACACTGTTATAAATTGAGGCTGGCTGGGGGAAGATGGCTGCTGCTCTTAGGAGCTGGGCTTGGGAGCAGGTAAGAGGAAAGCAACCGCCCTCTTTGCAAAGGTGGAAAAAAAGTTGTGCTCAGCTCTGCCTCTTTGTAAAGGCTCCTGCTCCAAGCCCTCCTCTTGCAGGGGAGAGGGCGAAATTTTTATTCCCTTTGTTATTCATCAGGGCAAGGGGAGGAGCTGGGCTGTGTAAGAGATCCTGGCTGACATAACCTTTCCCATGCAGGGCTCTGGAGAGGGGCCAGGTTGTACCTGAGCATTTATATTTAAACTGATCCCAGGCATTGCAAATCGAAAGTCATTACAGTTGAGATGGTAGCTGGAGAGCGTTTTTCTTGCCCAGGTGTAGTAAAGCAGTCTCCAGGTATGTTGTTTACCGCTCACCCTTGGGAGTATGTTCTGGAGGTGTTGGAGCACATTCGGTGAGCTGAGCTCGCTCAGCCTTTCCAGGCGGTTTTAGGAAAATCTTGCCCAAGAAGCCTTTAAGGAAACTGAGTGGCTGTGATTGAGAAGGCAAAGCCTTGTTCCACTCAAAAATTTGGGCAAACTGGGAAGCAAAGGGCTGGCTATCAGAGTCTCGGGGCAGACTTGGCTGCAGGCTCGTGCTCTGGGTGAAGGGGATGCTGGGTGCCGCCTGGCCAGCCTGGAGCCCAAAGCATCCCTGGGCACCTTTACCTGCCCCTCGCTGAGTTTGGGAGCAGACCCCACGAGCTGGGGGAATTTGGTTGCTTGTCGAGCCCTGTGCCTGGCAGTAGGGAGGGAAAATCCCCTCTAGATAAAGCTGCTTTTCCCCACCCTGGCCCAAATCCTATGACCCAGCTGAGTGAGCGAGCTCCCTCTGATGCTGGGGAGGAGAGCAGGGCTGTAGCGGGGGGAAAACGGCTATCACTGCTCTGGTACAAGGCCAGGAGGTGCAAAGTACAACGGTTACTGCAAAGCAACCTGGCGTGTTCCTGTCCTGTGCCAGGCAGCATGGGTGCCAAGGCACGCAGCCCCCTTGGCGTGGCGGGGACAGGGTGGGAATCGCCTGTGGTGCCGTTGGGAACAGGTATGGTCCCAATAACAGTGCCTGGCATTGCACTTCTAACAAGTTCATGCAAACACTGCGTAATTATCCCCTAACTTCTCCACCAATAAGTCCTAATTAGTTGCCTCTGCAGAGCAGGTAAATGATAACTGCCTGGGTTTGAGAGCTAGCTAGTGGTAGGTGATCCTGTGCTGTAGAATCATACCTGTCTGTGTGACAGTCAGCCCATCAGCTGCAGAGCCACCTTATTAAATGACAGTAAATCAAAGGTCAGCACAAATGGCAAGGCTCCGCACCACGGAAAGGTGTGTTGCTGCCTGTTTGTCTTCTGCAGGCTGGGAGCTTGCCAAAATTTCTGCAGTCATTACAGAGGAGGCTCAGATCTGCTCAGTGTGCCCTAGATCTATCTTCTGCCACCAAAACGTAAGCAGAATTTGAAGACTTACAGTGGTTCAAGATTTCTGGCATCTGGCTGCCTGGCTGGGATGCTGCTCTTTTCCCCACCAGCCTGGCTGTGCAGGTCGTGTGTGCACAGGTGTGCGGTCGTCCTTGTGGGTTCCTCAAAGAGCTCAGCCTTCTGCACCGGGCACCATGCAGATACTAAATTAGATTCTCACTGGGAAATCTAGGTTTGCTTTGAACATGGGACACAGTCCCTACACACCAGGATGTCCTAGGCAGCAGTGCAATTATGGGTGCTCTGGCAGTGGAGACAAGCAAAAGTGGAGTCTGTGCCCTGCCAGCGGTGTGCATATGTAAGTGTGCACGCCAGGAACTGAAGGGATACCCGCCAGCCTTCTGACAACAGGATGCTTGATCTCACCTGAAGGTCAGGCAAGTAATGTGCCTGAGTGGGAGGAGAAGGGCTATTTCAGTTTTGCAGCATAAACCTCTATTCCCTGGGACGTGTTACTAATTGCTTCTCTCTTTGTCTCTCTAGTGAGGATGCAGCAGAGACAATAGCAATAGACTCTAACAATCAGCCGAAGTCTCCACTGGAAAAGTTTATGGTCAGACTGTGTACACATCACCAAAAGCAATTCATTCGTGTGCTGAACGACATATACACTGAAGTACAACCAGACTCTGAAGGCCAGCAGTTGTCTGAATCCGAGAGCATGGAGGCCTCTACTTGTGGCTCTGGTTGTAGCCAGCGAAGCACTGAAAATCAGGATAAGGGTGCTACTTGTACTGAATCAAAGCCCCCTTCTTCCTCGGATCCGGGACAATTGGGGTCTGATGGCCCCCTGCATGTTACAGGACAAACCCCAAAGCAGCTGGTGGAGCTGAGGTCTCTGGACAGAGCAGAGAGCTCCAGTCCTGTTTTGAGGAGGGACTTCTCCGAGCTCCCCGTCACCAGGCTTCGTTCTGCTAGTCCAAAGGATAGCTCCACCCAGGGATACCTCAGCACGTTGAACTCTTCCTCTTTGAATTTCCATCATGCTGCAAAGAGCCTGGAAGGGCAGCAAGCCGCTGGACACGAGCAAGAAGCGGGTGTCAGAAAGTGTGAGGACAATAAAGAGCAGCTAGCAGGTAAGACTCTCATGGAAGGTTATATCTCGGTCAAAGTGGCAAATGTGAACAGCAGCGAGGACAGCTTAGATGGCTGTCTGGGGTCCCAAAAGAGCTCTTTCAGAGCTCTGCAGGAAGAGTCCTGGGATCCTGGCTTTGCGGTGACCCCCCCTCGCAGATCTGACAAAGAGAACACTTTGCAATGCAGCTCGAAAGCATCTTTGCACCAGGACTTAGATGCAAAAGAACAAGATGGGAGACCAAAGCAAGAAAACCACTTGCACACTGTGGCCAAGGGCAAGGCAGGCTGCCACCTGCACCCAGCTGACAAGGGCCAGCTTGACAAGTCCAA